TTTTATGGCGACCCTCTCTGCGACGTGACATGGTCGTCCAGCGCCCATATCGCCGCCCTGTGCTCTCTGGGTAATGCGATCGCTTCTTGTATTGACGGACGAAGTAATGATCGTGCTGGCAGGAAGTGGCAACCCCATCATTGTGCTTGGCGCACGCCGGGACGACCTTCCGGCCAAAGGCAGCGCCATGGTACGCACTTATATCTGCCATTGCTTCAGGAGGTCACGGCAAACACTAGGCGGACGAAGAGAAAGACGATATGCAGCACCTCCAGCGGCGCCAGAAACGCCTTGCCGAGCATGTAGAGTCATCACTGGATGGGATGCACTATTATATATGGATGGTGTAGGTGGCGACGCTGCTGGCGCAGGACGGGCGGCAGCCAATCGCGCCCGCAAAGGCCTAACTCACGTTTTACACGCTCGCTCGATATGTTCGTGATTGCATCCAGTGCATGATGGTTCTGCATTGCTTTGGCAGACGAAAGGGTTCCAACCCTAGCCCTATCATATCAAACCAATTTGTAACGCCAACAGTTTGTAGCATCAAGTACGTGGGAACGATAGGCTACAATGATTTTCGTGAGGCATTTACCCAATCCAAGGTGCCACTACTTCACCAACTACGCCGAAATGACCAGTTGAAACTTGGATGCTCGAGGGACATGCGCGAGAAATACGCTGCATGGGACAGAGCTGCGTTTGGGCATTTAGCTCGTTGGTCTCCTAGGCTCGCCACTACAAGTGCAGGAAAACGTCGTTGGACGCCACGTACATCTGCGAGCACGAGACGCTCTACCCGTCGCTCGTATCCTGGACTGGCGACGTTGCGATTTAGCAATGTCGGTTCATGTTGCATGAGATGATCGCCGACGCGCACGTCTGGCCCACGCTGCTGTGCAACGACCGCCGCCTACCCGAGGGTCCTCTTGGCCCAACACATCGCACCACGGCTTAGCGCGCGTCGCCCTGTTGCAGCGTGACATGCCCGAGCGACGGTCCAGCTCCAAGAGCCATCGTACACAATCGACCGGTGGTGCGCAAGACGACGTATCGACGGCCCAATAAACCCGTATGCGGCATGCAAGCGCGTCAGCATTTTGTCGCTGCGATATACGCCGCCGTTGACGTCGCGTACCGTGTGCGGTGCTTCTCTGCTGCACTGCGACCGGGTGTCGGTGCCAGGCTGGGACAAGGCGAAATGAAGAATGAGGCAAGAGGTCTCGTTTTTGGAGCCTGTCCGGAAAACGCAGCGAGCTGACAGCTCGCGGGTGGGACCAGGCCCTCGAAAATAATCTCGTGGTCTGGCTGCGCGATGACGGCCTTCCGCAAGAGAGTGTTTTAGCTCCCATTCGAGCCTACTGGGCTCGAATGGGAGCCTCTGGGCTCAGCCCAGAGGTCGCCGCTAATCGCATCGAGACGATCTTCGAATCATCGGCATCGCGTTACCTTCAAAAGTTGGTGTTTGCCTCGCGTAGTGCCCTGGTAGCAAGAATCCCAGCAATTCTTTACCTCGCGGCAATGGGGCATGGGTGGGTCTCGTCCAGGGCTAGGGGATACGAAATGCGCCAATCCACCGTGCTCGTATTAAAAAACCGAATGAGCTCTCGATGTGGCCTCGACACGCTCTTTGATTGGTGACTTTAGGCTTCGAACTTCGAGATGGAAGCCACGGCACGGGATGCACTGCATGCCCATTCTATTAGGCGCAATTCTTTGATGTCGAAGTTCGAAGTCGACAACCTCAGCTTGACTCACAGCTATCCGCAACACAACAGCTCCTCGCACCTTGCACCATGCTTCTCTGGGAAATGCCACGACATGACGAATAAGGTCACGAAGATGGTCCTAGCTCCGCTAACACCTACTATTACGCGTCGCTGGGCTCAACCTTCATATCCATATCAGTCGTGTTTTTCGTGGACTGGGGAAGCAGAGCCGTTGGGGTATCAACGTCAAAGCTACGCTTGGTTGTTGCTTTGCACGCCATCAAACGTTTGTTAGCCCTAACATTAACATGTGATCAACCTTTACATATGATCAAGAAACAACGCATAGAATCAATGTCGACGGGCAGTCACAACAAGCTTGCGCTGTCGTCTTTCAACAACAAGCAATGCACTCAAGAGTACTGCGCACGTAGTTCTTGGGTAGTACTGGTAGTAATAGCACTGTTAGTAGTTATAATCAAATCCTGACTTGGTTCCTATTCTATGACAAGTAGAGCACTCGCCCGTCGCGCGACTGTCGACGGCCGCCGTCACTCCTCGTTGTGTCAAATGCATCGTCGTCCAACGGGCCCGGCGAGAGCAAATGAACGGGCGTCGGGGGCTGCATCTCGTCTACGCCGGCGGCTTCGTCCGGCTTTGGGTACGCAGCTTTGAACCAGTCGAGCGCGAGGAGCGCGCCGAGACCGCACGGGAGGAGAAAGTTGATGATGTGAAAAATGTAGCGCCAATGGCCCGACTTGGACCTGGAGCCACTTGACGACCGCGTGCGGTTGCGCTTCAAGTTGTTGGTCGCTTGCCGGAACGTCCAGTCG